TTTGGCCATGTATGTGGTAAACCATGAATAGTAGAAACTTGTAAAGAATTGGCAGCTAAATCTGAGTTCCCCATTCTGTCAACTGACTTGGAGAATAAGTGTTTGGGTTAATATCTGAACATTGAACTTAGAAGAAGGAAAGCCCAATGGTGCCAAATAAAAGGGGATTTGCCCAAAGCCCAGCGCCAAGCCTAAAAGCCTTCTCAGCCTAATATAATCCACGTACTTACTATTGAAGTGACAAGTGATGGAGACTAACCTACTATCAGCCAAATAACACTTTCTAGTGGCATTCCAAGTAAAAAGCTGATGATTCACTTCCCTTCAAATGTTTTCGGGCAAGAGCAAGGTCACAGCAGTCAGGCCAATTGGTCTATAAAAGGAAGAAGAGGCCCTAGGGACAAGGACACTCAACCAATCACACAAACAAACATACAAACTCTGCTCTCAAGCCAGATTTGCATCCAAAAGCTGAAATCAATCCAGATTCAGTCCTTTTTAGCGACAAACTATCTCTTTCTCTAGTTTAAAGCTCTGATATCCCCCTCAGTGGCATAGTATCGATTCCTTTGTGTAAACTTGTTTACCATCCATCCCTTTTCTAGCATACAAACCCCTATAATCACAAAGAGAAGTGGCTGCAAGAGGTTCAACCTTGACAAACAAGGTGAAATCTTGCCCGAAGCTCTTTGTTTGTTCTCTAAATTTGTAGATCTATTACGTAATGCATTCTCCAGTATGTATTCAAGTCATATTCACCTGTTTTCATACTTTAAGAGTCTCATTTGCATATGGATCTGGTTAGTTTAATGGATATGTTATCATTAAAATTAATCAAGAACCAAGCAAACGACTAAATGGCTTAAAGGGGATCTGGACTCCCTTCATTCGAACATAGAAGACTATGAACTAAAAGTCTTTGTTCACAATGCAAGAAAAAGAACTTAACATTGACTTAACCCATCCACGACAATCCTTTGATAACAAGAAGTCTGAGTAACTTGGAGCGCAAGTAATTGACTAAATACACTCTTGTTCTACATTTGCTATACTGAGATAACAGTGCCACGTCTGGCACTTAGTTAGTTTTGATTGCAAGCCTCAAGGCCTACACCTAAGTCCCCACAAAGGCACCTTTCAGGACTAACTTTGTCCTATTCTTGTAGCACATCAGCTAGCAAGAGTCTGACCACACATCCAAAGTGCCAATCCCTTGGGGAGCTGTGCTGAGGTGCCGAGGACCCTTCCCCACGGAAATCTTTGCAACCAACAATAAGTACACAACTGCGAACAGTTAGTTAGATTTCCGCAGAATTCTATCATGTTGGCATTCGTGGCATTGGAGGACTGTGGACTAATGGTTCTCACTAGTAAATCAGAAGCGGAAAGACATTGGCTTGATGGGTTTTAACAATGCGTGCATTCTGTTGTAAACCACTCGATTAACCATTTTATTTTATCTTAGTATCAATAGTGTGAATGAAGCTTGAATTTGAATTTGTACATAGTAATGTAGGCAGGACATGTTTCCTGTTTGATCGGTTTTTATCCATGCAACATAAGATTTTACTTTCGTGCCAGTGTTGTGCTTGGTGATTCCACTTCTAATATTCTCCTTTTATTGTTGATTTACTCTACTTCTGTATTTTTTTTTTTCTTCTAACAGATAGATGAAAATGTACAAAGAGAAATTATAAACCACAGGTCATTGAGAGATCCGAACATTGTCCGATTCAAAGAGGTCTGTTAAATATTAACATCTAAACACAAACTAAATTCACTGCAGAACTCAGTTTCGTACTACGCTAACACCCACTCACCTGGCTATTGTTATGGAATATGCATTTGGAGGAGAGCTATTTGAGCGGATATGCAACGCTGGGCGTTTCAGTGAGGATGAGGTTCTTATCCACCAAATTGATTTTGTTTCTAATAATGAGTCCTACCTATTTCTAATGTACTTGTTTTACAGTCCCGCTTCTTGTTCCAACAACTTATATCAGGAGTCAGTTACTGTCACGCAAGGTGTGAATACATTGTCTATCTTTGCTTCTTCTGCTTTTTCCTGATAACTAATACTAGATTTCTGAGTGGATACATTGTTTTGTATTCATATCTGAAGCAAGTGTGCCACCGGGACTTGAAGTTGGAGAACACATTGTTAGATGGAAGTCCAGCTCCTCGTTTAAAAATATGTAACTTTGGCTACTCAAAGGTACTACTCCTACTCTCTCTCTCTCGGCATGCACGACGGGCTTCATTTTGCTGGAGTCCGGTGCTAAATTATGAAATATCTCTGGTGATTAAACTCAAACATAAATGTGTTTTTAATAAGATGGTACTTACTAACAAGGAAGTAATACAGATAAGTGTCAGCTATTCTTTCATTGCTTATCTGTATTACTACCTTGCTATTTCGTACTGTCTATATTTATCATATCCATCTAATTAGGCTCGGTCTCTTTTCTCAGTCCTCGGTGCTGCATGGGAAATTTGGAAAAATAACTAAAATTTGAACTCCATATACAATTATAGCAAATCTTTAAAATTTATGATAATTATAATCAAAAGTTGATATGAAAGTACTAATATTCCCTTCATGACTATAACTTTTTACAAAATAAATCCAACTCTCAAAACCCAAATGATTTTGCTGCTCTAAGCTTCTCGATCTTCAATGTTTTCCTTCACACCTGATTGTTCTTGTTTTTCAGCATATAATTTAGTCCAAAAAATAGAAGGAAAGAGTTGGAGTTTTGTAAATGTGGGTTCTTGGGTGAAGCGAATGTGGTTCAATTGACTGAAGGTTTCCTCATTTGACTGAAACTCCTTATGAATATTTGAATCTTGGTTGCTGAGTTCGGAAAAAGCGTGGGATTTGAGTGATTTTCTGGTGTATCAAAGGGAAAGAACAATATAGATTATATTCACACACCTTAAATTACTTCTCACACACCCTTTTAATTTTTTAATATTTTTTTATCAAGTGTTAGTAATGTGTACAATATCTAAAAAATATTTAAAAAATAAGTGTGGGACAAGTAGTTTGGGTTGTGTGAATATAATCTCTTAAGAAGAAAAAGGAGTGAAATTTAGCTGTCCCTCAGGAGCAAAACCCGTTTCTCCTCCGTCGCCTTCGTAGCCCAAACCTTGGACTGGGGTGGAGAGGACAACATGCTCACCATTGACGGAGCGACGGCAACGAGGAAACCGGGTCTTTGAGGAGAGAGAGAGAGGAGGATTCGAATATCGAGCCACATGAAGAGGTCAAGGTATTTGTTGGAAATTTAGCTTTTGAGGTTGATAATTAGAAATTGGTTTAAGTTTTTTGAGAGGGCTAGAATTGTCAGGTTGCTGAGGTGAGGCCTTGAATTTGTTTTGTAAAAAGTCTTAATCATTAAGTGTACATTAGTACTTTTATATCAACTTTTGGTTATACATATCATAAATTTAAAAATGTGGTTATAATTCTATATAGTATTCAAATTTTGATTATTTTTCCAAATTTCACATGATGCATTCACAACCAAAATCGACCGTCGGCACCCCTGCATATATTGCACCTGAAGTGTTACTTAAGAAAGAATATGATGGAAAGGTAATTCGTTTAAAGTCGGGTAGGATTATTTGTTAAACTAACATGTTAAATAATCTTTGATTATTAGGTTATATTTGTTCCACTTTAAGTTATTTCTGGATTATATTCTTTACAAAATCATTTGTCACCGTGTTACTTGTTTGTATTTGTATTTATTTAACTTAGCTTATGACTTTCTGGAAAAATATCTAGCTTATAACTTTTTAATCGATTTGTCTGACTATATACTCCCCTCATCGCTTAGTTGAGTATGATAAGGCTGTTCTATTTCTCTGTCAATAGTAACCAAGCGAGCATGCCGATTTCCCCCCATCGGCAGCTCCTTAGGGGTATTTGTCGATTTCCCTCTTGAACTTGTAAGGAGCTGCCGATTTTCCATCCAATTTTCCGTTCAACTCAGACACATGCACAGCACATGCAAATTGTTTGAGGGCAAAAAAGTAATTTTATCCCTTCCTTTTCTCTTCGCTAGTTCACTCTGTACACTTTTTATTTGAATTAGCCATAAAAGTCTAATTAGCAACTGCAAAATATTGGCTTTGTACCCAATTTACCAAACCAACGAGAATTAGTTTTGCATTTCGAGTGCTTTAATAAAGTTCAGGGGGTAAATGAGGGAACTCCAATTTCAGGGAAGCAAAAAGTAAAATAGTTAATGCTGGCAATGTGATTGCTTACCTCCCTTTAAGAAGAAAGGGTTGCTTATGAAGTTTCAGTGTTGGAACTCGATTTCCTGCATAACTGATCCAATATTTTGCACTGAAGGATACTCTTCCCCGTGTTTCTGCTTTCATAAAACCGATTAAATCGTGCTACTAATCTCCGTTTTGATCTACTTTTCCAGATTGCGGACGTATGGTCTTGCGGGGTGACCTTGTACGTCATGTTGGTGGGTGCGTACCCGTTTGAAGATCCCGGGGAGCCTAAAAACTTACCGTTTCTACCGATACTTAACTCAAGTAGAAGGTTTTTCCTCTTTTGCAGCGGATAACGAATGTCCAGCACTCGTATATCTCCAGAGTGCTGCCATCTAATATCAAGGATTCTCGTAGCTGAGCCCGAGAAGGCGTCTGGTCCCAACATTGACATCGACAGCAGCGGAAGAGATAGTCTATGCAATTTAGTTGGTACAATGCTTTGTTTCGGTGGGGGTTCGCGTGCAAGCGGGAGTTCAGAACACCACCGAGGAAATTCGACATTATCTTCAGTCACAAATGTACGGATGTGAAATTGGGGCAACGGCGCATTGGAGGGTTCCCCCTCCGCCTGTGTTTCTGTCTCTCCTTTTATAGTGGCATGCTACTGTTCATCTGTATTGTTCTTCCAAGGCAACACACTCAAATATTTCAGAAGACAGCCGGGCATTTCGTAGCTTAAGACTCTAGTGCTTAACAGTAACCGATACATCAAACGCGGGCAAACTGTCTTATGCATTCACCAAACAACAAAAATTACCTTCGTGCTCTTATGGCGCCATTCGATTACAAATATTTCATGGACCTTGGGACTGAAAGTATTACGAAATTAAATTAACATACAACTAGAGATCCCCAAAACAGCGACTCCTGGACAGCCGGTTGACGGCTAATCATCACATATGAACACAATAAACGGCTGTCTAGCAAGATATTCCTACATGTTAAGACTAGAAATATAATGTCCTGCAGCCACACAGATGGTATGTGAGAGCAATATCAAAAATCATTTCAAGAAAGAAAAGAGAAAGAACAGAAGGAAATATGTGAGAGCGATATCAACTTTCAGAACCAACAGTCTCTGTTGCAGGGGCCGACGCATCTCCATCTGAATTCTTGTCGCCGGTTCTTTCCCCACCATAACCTGATGGCTCTTCGTATCCATTGCTTGGAAGCTGTGAGTGGTCTTGCTGCTGATGCTGTGACTCGCTGTTTGTAGGCGGATTCACTGCTGGGGCATAATGGGAAGGCTCTGGCTGATGGTACTCACCGTGTCCATATGCTGCGGGCTGAGATGCTGCAGAAGGGTCTTCAACCCCCTGCTGCCCTCCATAACCTGTTTGGTAATAACCAGGATGTGCTTGACCTGTGCTGCTTGGATGAGTCCAATACCCAGCCTGAGGGTTGGCTGTTGGCTGGCTGTACGGAACTGGATAAGCAGCTGAAGGCTGGGTACTTTGAGAAGCAGTTGCATCCGCACTGGATGGCACCGCAGGTGGTCCATATCCTGTAGTTGCGTACTGTTGCTGGTAATCAGATCCTGGAGCTTGGCCTCCATAACTTGCTGGCTGCTGAGCATATCCCTGATCATAACCATGGATGGCGACGGGAGGTGTCTGATTGTAGTTGTAGTTAGGATTTTGGGGAGCTGACCCCAGCTGAGGTGGTTGTCCATAGTAATTGTATCCACTACTGTCTTGAGGCGGCTGAGACGTGGCTACTTGGTTTGAATGATCCCAACCTGCTACCTGTGTAGGATAGTTTCCGTAGTATGAGGCAGGAGGGGCATAACTTCCTGGTTGTGCATACCCATAATGGGGCTGCTGTTGCTGAATTGGAGCTTGTCCTGGTGGGGCCCAACCACCAGGAGGGGGGTAAGACTGCTGCATATAGCTATTGGTTCCAGAGGGATTTACTATACGCTTCTGCAGAAGTGAAACAAAGGTGTTGAAATAAACATATTACTTTGATATAGTTTTGAAAGAAAATATATATAAGATGAGCAAAGGCAAGAATCCAGTAATGGGAACTGAATGTTTCTGAGTACTAGACAAGCATGAGCAGAATTTGACCAGAAACCCAAGTCCGAACTTAGGCCATGATACCTAACATTATTATATGTTCACGTATATAAAAGAAAAATTAGTGAAAAAATAGAGAATTGTTATTAGCACTCCAAAATTCTCATTTAGCACTCCAAACTTTCTATATTTACAAAGAAAATTACAATTGTGAGGAGTACAAAATAAAGGCTCGTTTAGATATGCTTTTAAAATGACAGAAAACGCTTTTAGAGAAAATGTTTTTAGGTTCCAAATGCAAGAAGCACCAGTTATGTGCTTCTTCCAGGAAGCACTTTAAGTGTTTTTCCAGGATTTACTTGCATCTTACAAAAGATTGGTTCTAAAAACATTTTCATCAAAAGCGCTTTCAGTCATTTTAAAAGCACATCCAAACGAGTTCTAAGATTTTTGGAGTGTAAATAACGAGTACAACAACAAAACAACCCAGCCTTGTCCCACAAAGTGGGGTCGGCTGTATGAATCCTAGAAAGCCATTGCGCTTGATTTTGCGCCAAGTCTTCCGTTAGCTCCAAGTACTCCATATATTTTCTTATAGTCTCGTTCAACGTCTTCCTAGGTCTTTCTCTACCCCTTTTGTCTAGAGCCTCCATATCATAGTCACATCTTTTTAACAGAACATTTGTCATTCTTGGTTCACGTGTTTAAACCACCTTAATCGATTTTCTCTCATCTTATCTTCAATTGCAGCCACTCCTATTTTACCTCGATATCCTCGTTCTTAATCCTATCCTTTATCGTGTGCCCACACATCCAACGAAGCATTCTCATATCCGCTACACTCAATTTTTGCACGTGTTGCTTTTTGACCACCCCAACATTTCGTGCCATAAGCATCATTGGGTTTATCGGCTCCTACATAATTATCCCGAGCTTTAGTGGCATACAACGATCGCACAACACACCTAATGCACTCTTTCACTTCATCCATCCAGCTTGTATTCTATGATTGAGATCTCCCTCTAATTCTACGTTATTTTGCAAGATAAATCCTAGATAATGAAAACATTCCCTCTTTGGTACTTCTTGATCTCCAATCCTTACCCTTATCTCATTTAGGCCCCCATTCCTACTGAACTTGCACTCCATATACTCTGTCTTTGACCTACCTACACGAAGACCTTTAGCTTTCAACACTTCCCGCTAGAGGTTAAGCTTCGCATCTATCAGCACTATATCACCTGCTAAAAGCATACACTAACAGTTCCCAAAAAATAAAAGAAAGTACAAAGCGAGGAAAGATGACGAGTAGCCCAACCAAAGATAACCCCAGTATGGCCTGAGAAACAATCATCGAATTATCAAGTGTTCCTTTTGGCTTCCCCATTCCCTCCCAAAGGCTATTTCTTGCAATTATTTCAATTCTAACCACCACTTTCTTTGGTATTTGAAACAAAGACAGACAATACGTAGGAGTGCTTTCAACAAAATTTATCAGCTCTCAATCACTCAAAAACCTCAAACCAAATCAGTTCTAGGGTCCACCCACAATAATAATTTAGTTCGCAATCTTTCGCCACACCTAAACCTATTTGACAAGCTGTGCAATTATCCATCTCTTATGAAACCCTATGTTTCTTCTTTCCCACAACATTGGCAAAAGTTGCTAGATTAAGTACAGAGATTCAAATCTCATTTCAAACATGACAAGAATGCATAAAACCAAGATTAATGTTCTCCTGGAAATCCAACCATGCTAACCCGAACAAGACTTTGTTCATCAGACTAAAAGGTTTGGAAAAGAAAGAAATGCCAATTCTTTATAGAATTTGCACATTTTCATTTTCACTTAACTCAGGAAAGGAAAAGGTCGAATAATGAAAGAGGTACCAACAAGCACTGATGACTCACCCCGCTGATTACTTCATTGACCAATTCTTTGGCTGCCTCAATTTGCTCTGTCGTTCCATTTATATGTACTGATCTCTCAGTTGACATATCACCAGGAGGAGGGTGCAATGGTACCACCTGAACCAAAATTATGTCTTAAATATAATGGAGATAAGATATAAGAATGCATGAGACAAATAGCATGCAAAACTTGTTCCATGTATGAGATGATTGTCATCCTACAAAAATGTCTATGCTATTTTTATTCAGGGCCATATTCTCAAATATGATGCAGAAAGGTTGGAGTCATTTGACAACTTTAGGAATAAAAATAGCAGATAAACATTTAATCTAGATGAAAAAACCACAACTAAAAGAAGCAATGCTAGAAAAGATAGACCAATCATTGAACAAAGATAGAAAGAGGGTCAAGGTTAAAGGTTCAACCACAGTCATACAGTGGCTATAATAACATAACAATTACATTTTTTTTTATTTAATTATCTCATCAATATTAAAGATAAAATTTATGAAATTAGATATTTTGTAATTCTAAAAAATTAAGATTTTGAAGAGAATATGTTATTTGGGGTAAATTAACTCAACTAGTTTGTATTTCTTTTCGAGTATAAAATATCACTATGTATACATCCAATCCACATTTTTGTATTGCATATTTCTTGTTCATTAGGTTTAGCTGTTTCTGCATAGAGGTTATATGTGTGTGCGCACGGATAAAGAAGATACATTTCTTATTATGGTTTTCATGCTTTTCTTTAGTGGACCTTGTCCCTAAATAGTTGGAGGTTCATTCTAAAAACAACATACGACCTTTTCCAGGATTGGTTCAAATAGAGAAGTTACTATAACAAAAGAAATGAGTGCTGCAATCTAATATATCACACCCAGAAAAACAGCAATTTTGGGCCCTGTGTCAAATTTATAGAATTGGGGCCAAAAAGCCTCAATTTTCCGAAACCATCAAACCAATCGAATGGGCCTTAACACAGGAAAGAATGCAAATATGAACCAAGTTTCATAATTGCATTTTCTATTTCAAGAATGCTGATGTAGTTTCAATTTGAAAATATAATGTGACCAATATAAGCCAAAGCCAATGGATTTCTGAGATAGTATAAGTGGAAGTTCATATTAATATCACATTCAATGACTTCTTCCCCCCTCTCCTCCTTTAAAGTGAAAGTGCACACCTGAATACGAGCTCCTGACTTGCTTTGCATAGTCCTGATCGTCTCACCTCCCTTGCCAATGATCAAAGCAACCTACAACAATCATGAATGCAAATATGAACATTATACATTACTACATTACCATGTGCTTCAAATATAGAAAAAATAACCACTAAATGATCTAACCTTATTAGTGGGTACTTTCATGATAAACTGTTCTGATCCAGGTTGCATTGAGTTGAATCCCTGATTTGTAGACGGAGCAGAGACCCCTGCATCTGCCTGTACAACAAAAATATCAGAACGTCCTTTTAGAGACTGATACCTTTCGGATTCATGAAACAGCGATAACATCAATGTAAAACCAATATAAACATAGGCTTTACCTCTGCTAGGACATCACTGATAAGTTGTTCTGCCCTACTGATCTGCTCAGGTGACCGGTCAAGTCCACATCCCTCGTAAGAGAAGTAGGATCAGCTTCCGAATCCCGGGTTATCTGAATTTTGGCCCCTGACTGAAGTTGTAGACTTTTTATCGTTTCTCCTTGTTTTCCAATGATTACCCCAACCTAAAGGCAGAATTACCAAAACAAATGACAAATCATCAGTGTTGGGCCATGAAATAATTCCGAGCAGCAAGAAATCAACAAAGTACCTTCCCATTTGGTATGGTTATTTTCTTGCTTGTGCTTGGAGAACCATAAGACTGTCCTGATTGCGGGGTAAAAACTGAACCAACCTTTTAGTTAGAAAACCGAAGACGAGAAAAGGTCTCATGCAGTGCTTTAAAAGGGATAATTGTATAAAAATATAACACCACAAATTCCAAATCCAACGGAAAGGGATCCTGGATAAAAACATGCATTTGAATTACAAGAAATACAGCCAGACACCTTATTCTTAATATAAAAAATAAAAACTCTAAGCATATCCTTACACAGAATAATACAACAATTCAGATTCACGCACAACGGTCCCTTTTTTATCCTAGAAGTAAACAAGTGGACATTGAGCACTTGTGGAAACCAATGCGAATTATTGAGAAGCAAGCAATACTCCTCAAAATCTCAAGCATTCAAGGAGCAGAGTAGTTAACTACTTAAGCTTTCGGTTCATAACAGGGGACACAGAAAGCAGCCCGAAAACCGAACCCAAAGTGCCAACTATCACTGAAATTCCCCAAACCTAAAGTTTCAACAACCCTGCCACTTAGTACTACATTCTAGTGGTAATCCTTTTCACTTGTAAGTGAGAGTACTTAATGTTCAAATCTCGTGGATAACAAATTCTATACCAATTTATTTCCCCACCTCACGCCCTTAGGGCAATATATGGTTGTATCAAAATAAGTTTTTGAGCCTATAACTAGATTCAAAATAATACTAATTCACATTCACGCTTAATTCGATCCTAAAATCCCCAAAAATCTTAAGCTAGGGATTACAATTATCTTCCTTCCAATTTTTTGTAATTTTCAATTAACAAAGGAAGCAAATACAAATACTAGATTAATTAAAAAATAGAATAATTAAAAAAAATAGAATTCTAAAACCCTAGAAAGAAGAAAGCAAAGGGAAAAAGCAGCAGTACCAGGGTAAGGAGGAGGGTTGTAGACGGGGCTGGGTTGGCGGTAGGGCTGCTCCTCCTCGAGTCGAGGACGCTTTGACTCGGCGTCGCTTACGAGTCGGGCGGCGATTTCCTGAGCTTCTGCTTGGCTAGTAGGATGCTGATGCTGCTGTCTTCCAGCTTCCGCTTCTCACCGGTGGCAGCTTCTTGGTATTGGTCTTGGTCTTCTTTCATGGCGGAATCGCTCTGTGACTCAGTGAGTGACTCGTCGACCAATTAGAGAGAGGGGGCAGCGACGAAAGGAGGAAAGGAATTGGGAGAGCAGATTACATAGGGCTCTGGTTGATTGTAATGAAATCAATCTGCACGATGTCGTTTGGTTCACGGTTCACCTCGCGATCACCACTGTTGCCTCTCCAGGTAAAACGCACCGCTTCACAGGTTTCCAAGTTCAATCTTATACTAAAGGATAATGCTAGTGAGGCTCAAATTTTAAATCAAATGATGTGTTACCAATGATGAAACTTTTATGAGAATGGCTTGGGCTAAGTTTTTTTTTTTTTTTTTTTTTTTTTTTTTTTTTTTTTTTTTTTTAATTAAGAAGGACAACTTGTGGTAAGTCAAGGTTATCCAACTCTTTGGAGATCGGGAAAACTCACATAGGCATTTCAGCCTTTATGATCACAAGTTTGGGATGGGAAAGACTTTTTTTCTCTGTCGGGCTTTCTCTTGTAAAGTCAAAGTTATTTAATGAAAAATACTTAAATTTTAATGAAAAATTCTTAAATTTTAATAAAAAATGACAAAAGAACTTAAATTTTAATGAAAAAATACAAAATTGTAATATTAATGGCTCGTTTACTAATCTGTAATCAAAACGGGTGAAATTGAATTGAGGAGGAATTGAACTGAGGAGGAATTGAATTGATGAGGAATCAGAAATAGATTCCTATGAAAGGTGTTTACTAAACTGTCGGGAAACGGAGTAGGAATGATGTCAATTCCATATAAATTGTTTACCAATTCACTTCTGAATCAGAATCGAAACCATTTGATTACTAAACTGCCCTTGGTCTAAATGAGTGATTTTATGTGATAATTAATAAAATTTAATTTTCATAACAACATTAACCCATAAATAATTAAATTTTCTCTCTGATCTTTCTAAACTAAATTGTTAACCCTTTTTAAACCTAATTTTTATACACACCCCCCATAACTTCCCAAGCAGCCCAATTTTTCGACCTTTTCAAACCTTCACGTCTTTTACTCTGCTCCCAGTATCATTCGTTAGTCTTCCCCAGCCGGCACCGCCATCGCCACCACCCTCTCCCTCCATCCCCTACATTTTATTTTCTGTGCATCCTTCATTATCATTTCTTGCGGCTCCGTCTGTCTCCTGCTCCTCCATCCCCACACGACCACGACGCCACAACTATAGAAGAACCAGCTTTACAATATCTGAAGACGGTTCGGAATGGTTGATTAGGGTGTAAATGCAGAGGGAGGTGAAAGGGAGGCAGCAGAGAGGTCTAGGCTTGTTGGTTTCACTGGCAAATTGGAGTTTTAGGAATTAGTTGGGGTTATAATAGGTAGAAAAGTTGTATTCCGGATTCTGCTTGTCTCCCGAAATTCAAATGACACCTCCCACCTCCGGAATACAATTCTTCCAAAAACAGGAATCCAATTCCATTTTTCGTGTGGGCCCCCACTCATTTTGATTCCTCTAAATTTTAGTAAACACAAGAATAACCTGTAATCGGAATCACACTCCGACTTTTGATTCCGATTACAGACACGTAAACACGCCATAAAAGAATAAAAAAAATTGATGCACATGTGCATCCTCACACATACTTATGAAATTTGCTACACTGTTCATGAAATTTAACAGTACTGCACTGTTTATGAAACTTACTATATTATTTATGAAACTTAATGGTACTGCATTATTTATGAATCTTAACGATACTACATTATTTATGAAACTTAACGGTACTACACTGTGTCTATACGTGTATTATTTCTTTTGCCTTAAGTAGCTATGAGTGAAATCTACATATATCACTTATATATATATATATATATATATATATATATATATATATATATATATATATATATATGTTGTAAACATTCCTAGAATAAGTATGATTGTGTAAATCCTAGATTATATTTGATTCTAGTTATCCTTTCCTATTACAACTTGTATTACTTGGAGGAGAAGGAATATCTTCTCTCCCTTTACTACTATAAATAAAGGCACAACATAGGAGGGATAACAACACACACTTTCCCCTACAATTCTATAAACACACATCTCTCTTCTCTCTCCCACTGCCACCGGCCCTCTCTATTTTGTCAGATAAAAATAGACCACAACACGTTATCAGCACGCTCCTACCGCTGCGCTTAGGAATCTGACGTTGAAGAATTTTTCTGCATCAAACCAGTTCAACCATATCATCACGCAATCAGGTTCTTTCCAAACAACGATTTTTAACTCGATATTTTGCAAGCCCTTATAGCATGAACATTCACCATGATGCATGACCCAACTTTACGTTTTACGTATTTTAGATTCTACATAAATTGTGTATGCTTCATAATCAAAATTGCTACAATTATGTGAATTTGATATTTGTCATGAATTGAATCTTACATATGTACATGCATTGAAACTATTATTTGCATATGCATCAACATAAATAAGTGATTCATTAAAATTATACATGCATATAATATAATTGAATTGAAAAAAAAAACACATTTTTTTTGCGATTGGGACCTGGGTTCTTTAGAATCCGTGACCACCATCCTGCAGATGGGGTCTCCACGCAAGCAGAGAGCATGCAGCTCTCCTTGTTCCCAGAGAAAAAACCCACGAAGCCAAGCCCCAAACCCAAAATCCCGACACCCTTCCTGGTGTCCCCCGACCATGGCATGGCCTGCAGCCGCAGCCTTGAACCTTTGGTTCATATTCTCGACGACCTGAAGTCGTCCCATGTCGACAATTGAACCGAGATTCAACGGAATCTCGTCGGAATTTTTTGAAAATTCGATTTCAATTTTTAGGGTCTTGATATCACGTCGAGATTGCACACACCAAGGACAACCACCTGCAGTGGCGCCGTCCTAGTTTTTCCGGCCTTCTTCCTCGGCCACGCACACCCAGTGCCGCTGGGTTTGTTTTGTCCTGCACCCCGAAGCCCTAACGGGCTCCAGCCTCTTGGCCCGTGTGACAAGAAAAAAATAAACAAATTTTTTGCTGGGCTCGCTTGCAATGGCCCAGCCCGCAAAGAAAAGAATTTTTTTTTTATTTCCTGGGCGCGCCTGCAGCGGCCCAGACCGAAAAAATATTTTTTTAGTTTTTTTTCTAGGCCTGCTTATTGCAACCCGTATCTGTGAAACAAAAGATTTTTTTGGGGTTGCACACAGCAGCCCATTCCCTCTTCTCACCTCGTGGGCCTGCAGCCTACACCCGAGGGTTCTTGGCCTATATTTTTAGGCTCCGAGATTTTATTATTTAATAGTTTTAAATAATTTGGGTTTTTATATTTTCACCCACACTTTAATTTGGCCCCAAAGACCAAATAAATTAATTCAATTATCATTATACAATATTTTTGCATATATTTGTTGCATATATATTTGTGTTTGCCTGCAGGAATATATGAACCTGAAGTTCATAATTACTTTGAAACCCGAAGTTTCTTATAAATATGCCTTGTTTGAAAACCTGAAGTTTTCTCTTACACATATCACCCATGAAAACCCGAAGTTTTTCATGCAAAATTAAACCAATACATGTCTATTAGAACCTGTATGTTCTACTCCTATGTGAATGGATTGATTTTTCTCCATTACACTAACCACATCTTGTCCATCTATTTGTGATAGGAACATGTCGCATTTAAACAAACTCGACTTCACCGCTTTGGAGGTCTCTGGAAGGAACTACCTCAAGTGGGTTCAAGATGTGAAGCTCCACCTCACTGCCAAGAACTTGCGTCCTGCTATTGAAGAAGCAACAACTGAACCTGTTGGCGAAGCTGAAAAGGCTACTGCTATGATCTTCATCCGAAGATATATTCATGACGCTCTGCAAACTGAGTACCTTGCTGAGGAGGATCCACGTGCATTATGGGTCGCTTTGGCTGATCGTTTCGATCACCAAAAGGACATATTCTTGCCTGAAGCAAGACACGACTGGCAGCACTTGCGCTTCCAAGACTTTAAGTCTGTGAATGAATATAATTCTGAAGTTTGTCGAATCTGATCACTTCTCAAGTTTTGCAATGAAACTTTGACTGAAGAGGATCTCCTGGAGAAGACCTACTCGACCTTTTCTGCTTCTAATATTGTCCTGCAGCAACAATATATAGCTCAGAAGTTCACTAAGTTCTCGGATTTGATCTCTGTTTTACTTCTTGCTGAAAAGCAGAACCGGCTGTTGATGAAGAATCATCAAGCTTGACCTACTGGGGCTACTGCTGTGCCTGAAACACATTATAGCACTAATCAGCACCCAAAACGCCAAAAGAGGCGTGGTAAGGGCGGCCAGAAGCCATCCCACCAAGGTCAACAGAGTCAAGGCTCATCCAAGGGAGGAAACAAAGCCCAGAAGCGCCCAAACCTCGCTCCTAAGGCCCCGAACTTCAAGAATAAGGGCAAAGCACTTGCCACAATGAATGACGATATGTGTTATCGTTGTGGTTCAAATGACCATTGGTCCCGTATTTGCCGTGCTCCCAAGAAGGTTGTAGATGAATATCATTATCGTCGTAAGAAGTTTGAATCAAACTTCATGCAAGTGGACGAACCGGAGACTACAAAGATGGAGGTTTCTGACTTTCAGGAGGATACCACTCCTATAGAAGATTAGAATCTTAGACATAGACTTATTTTTAGTTAAAATAAGACAATTGGGGCCGAATTCCACCAAGTGGCCGAACCCTACCTTGTTTTTTTGGTTGATTTTGAACAATTTTCCTTTATGTTTTGGATTATTAGTTGGCGATTTATTTTGGATATTAAGTTTTTAATCCTTGAATAAATGAAATTATTTTGAATTGATACTTGTTTTTTTATAAACTTTTATGCATGTGACCGATTCCAATTAATTTTTCATTCTAGGTATGACTAGTGGGAAAGTTAGTTGTCTGGTAGATAGTGCAACCACGCAT